CATATATTTAAATGTCCCTTTACGGATTTAAAGAGTATATATCACCCTGACAAAGAAGTAGCAAACCATGTGATCATCTTGTAAATGACAATGCAGTGTTTCGCTTCAGGCAAGTGTTAAAAACACAGGCAAACCAAATATCATTGGATAGGTTTTTAGTGAGACAGAGGCCCAGTGAGCCTGAAGCAAGTTCTAGTGGAGCAAAGAGACAAAAGAGAGAAAGAACCCCAGAAAAACAGCTACCGGATGTTTTCATGGAAGGGGACTCCCCTTCCAAACAGTAACACTTCTCCATTCCTCCTCTCCCTACTCCATCATTAATAACTCTCAACATTAAATGTACAGTAAGGTCTAGTGTGTACATAAATTTTTATTTTTTTTTTGCTGTACATTTCATTTCCTTTTTGTTAAATTTTTATTTATATTTAATGTCCTTTTAAAAAAAAGTTTATAGATTAAACAGTACATTAGACATGTACTGTATATAAGAAAGGTTAAAACAGGGGGTCATTTGGTAGTCTGGAATGGATTAATTCAATTAACATTATTTCCAGTGGAGAAAAAAATGGTTCAGTTTTCAAACAAATGGCTTCTGGAGCAGCCTTCCGGAACTAATAAGTTCGAGAACCGAGGTTCCACTTTTTGATTAGAATTCAGGGAAGGTCTTGTAGTTAAAATTTACCACATGAGATGAATTGTGTGTTGGTTTTTGAATCATGTTTACTTAAAGTTAGCTAACTGCATCAATAAACCAAAAATGGAGGCTGTACATTTAACAGATTAGATGTTTGAACATCTAATAGACATATTAGACATATTATGTCTAAGTAGACATTTAGGCCTATTAGAAAATTGCAGAGATGTTGAGTTATCCATCCTAAACTCTGCTAATTCAAAAAGTTTTAATCACAGTTCAGTTAACGTTCAATTACTGTTTCTAAATAAATTATAAGTTAACAAATGTTTATCAGGCCACTGATCCAGGCTTGCCTCAGTGTGTTGCAAACAGTGGCCACCAGCCAAGGACGCTTAGTGCTCTCATGCTGAAATACGAGCTAGGCCTCGGGAAGACCAGAGCAGCCTAAATAAACATCTGGGCCCTTCTAGCTGCTTACTATTTTCAGTTTTTATAACAGTCTTCTCTGAATTTCTATACAAAAACAAAATATTCTGTCTGACTGTATACTTTTTCTTAGGAGAGACAAGACAATCTTCAGATTGTAGAATTAATTTGTTTTAGATCAGTGCTGATGCCTTCCTTATTAACAAATTGTATTTTGCCTCTGCAGTTTCTGCATTCCATGATCTCTCTTATTTTTTTTTTTTTGCTTCTGCATTTTCATTAAATTACTGAGGTATTTAATTAATATCAATTAATGACAAATCTATGAATAGAAAAATCCATCTGTCACAGAAGTAGGTGGTGTGCTTGGATAAGCAATAATTTAAGATAATAAACTGATTGCCCGGCAAGTGTGAACTGACTGAGTGTCACCCCATGAAAGAGAGGTCCTGGCACATGCCACGGTTGAGGGCTTGATCCCCAGTAGGGGGCGTGCAGGAGGCAGCCGATTAATGTGTCTCTCTCGCATGGATGTTTCTAACTCTTTCTCCCTTCCTCTCTAAAAATCAATTAAAACATTAGGAAAAAAAGATAGCAAACTGATTCATCATCTAGAACTAGAGCCTGACCCTCTGACAGCCATTGTCAACTGTGGCCTGCAAAGGTGCTTGGCCAGGCCAACCAGGTGTTGTTTTAAACAACTGAATGTGACTGAAGTTAAGTGGAATGCCCCCCCTCTTCTGGTTGACCCCAAGGCCAATTTGCAGAGTGATGTTTTTCTATTACGTTTGCCCACCCCTATGCTCCTGACTATTGTTAGCTGTATCATTAATGTTACATTGGTATAGTTAGTAATATTTGCGCCATCTTCAGTAATGTCATTAAGTAATCTATGCTTTTTAAATAAAAATTAAAAACTTTAAATCCACTATCGACTGCACTTACAGGATTGTTTCAGAATTAAGAAACGTGAGTGAATGCATGGAGAAAGACTTGTAACCCTGGGTTAATAAACCCTTACTAGTTGCAGGAGGATGTCCCAGGTACAAGAATCACCAGATGTAATTGTAACATCTATTACAGCTTCTTAAATTCGAACTCAACTGACTCTGTTTCTTGTATCATATTGTCCTATTTCTTATACTGATGGAGTCGCTGCTGGAAAAAAAAATTATTTTACCTTAACACTTGGTCATTGAGGTTTTCGAAGGCATTACTCCACTGTCTTCTTTCCAGTGCCCAATATTGTTGGTGAAGGTCTATTGCCAATATGATTCTAATTCCATTGTAAGTGATCTGGACTTTCCTTCTCTGTAACCTGTTAGGGTCTTTGGAGTTCTGAAATTTTTACTGGGTTATGTCTAAGTATGAATCGTTATTCATTCACTTTGCCCAGAAACCAGTGGACCTCTTCAATCTAAAAATTCATGTCTTTCTTTAGCTTAAAACACACACACACACACACACACACACACACATATATGTTTTAGATATTAGTTATCTTTTTATTTTTATTTTTTGAAACTCCTAATAAACAGATATTGGACTTTGGGAAATATTATGCATGTCCTTTCATATTTCCTAAGTTTATTATTTTTGCTATAATCTTGGACAGTTCCTAAATTTTATTTTTCAAGTGACCTGTTTATTCTTTACTCTTATTATGCAGTCTTTCTATTACATTTCTCACTTGAGAAATCATACTTTTAATTTTCCATACATAACCTTTTCTGGTCTTCTGATTATTTTATTTTTTTATTTATTTAATTTATCGATTTATTTATCCTCACTTAAGGGTATTTTTCCATTGATTTTTTAGAGAGAGAGTGAAAGGGAGGAAGGGAGGTAGGGAGGGAGGGAGGGAGGGAGGGATGGAGAGAGAGAGAGAGAGAGAGAGAGAGAGAGAGAGAGAGAGAGAAATATGAGAGAGACATCGATTGGTTGCCTCCCACAGGACCTTGATCAGGGCCCAGGAAACCTGCAGTCCAGGCATGTGCCCTTTACTGGAATCAAACTTGCGACCCCTAGGTCCACAGGCTGAAGTTCCAACCACTGAGCCAAACCAGCTAGGGCACAATTGTTCCTTTTAAATAGTCTCATCATGTTTTATGGATGCAATGTCTTGAATCCCTCAGTGCTTATTAATAAAAATTTTATGATTTCCCTTTTTTTCTCTAAATGACCTATTCTCTCTGGAGACAGTTGATCAGTAAACTCATCTGGCCTTTTGTTTTGTGCTGCTGGCTCTCCTAAAATATCTGGCGATTCTGGGTGGCGCACTCATGTTTGTGAATGAAGGACCAGGTTGGTTAGTGCGGTTAGGTGCAGTCGAGCAGGTCTTCTCTCCAACAGAAATATCCCTGAATGCTTGGTCTAACAAGGGACCTATGGACATGCAGGTTGTGTTCACTGGCAGGCTCTGCTTTAGATTTGGTTAGGCATCAACAAGGAGGCAAGCTGCCCCATCTCGACCCCAGATGCCAAAATAAGCTGTTAATCAACCACTGGAGGACTTGATTGAATATCTTTCTGGGGAAAAGCTGCTTTGCCCTTTTGTCCCTTCTATTATCATCCTTTGTGAGGGTTGAGAGTTATTTCAAACTGCTTTGCTTTTTTGAGGCCCCTTCCCACTTGAGGAGCTCTAACAAGCAAATGACTGTCTTTAGAGAGCAGCCCGAAGGCCCCTGTTCTGCCAGAGCAGAATGCTCTGGGAAGAGGGGCGAGCAGGGCAAGGGGCAGGGGTCCTACTGTCTCCGCTGTTCTGAATGCAGGTCATCAGTGAACCACCCAGGGTTAGCTGCCAGCCCTCTCCCACTCTTCATTTGTTAGGGAGTCATGAGCTGGGGTTGGTATGGGGAAGGGTTGCCTGGGCTGCTGTTTTATTTGCTCTGTTTTCTTCAAGCTTCCCATCCTGCTGCTTCCTCATTCAGGATTTCCTCAAACTTCCTGTTTTGAGGTGCTTTCCCTTCTTATTTTATCTGTTATGTTTTTATTTCTTTAAAAAAAGAAATTATTCCTGCTATGTCAGTGGGACATTGAGAGACAGGAGAAATAAACAGGAAATTTCATATTTCTATCTTGGATTTTTCAAGGGCAGGGCATCATAAAAAGAGCATCATAACGTCCATTTTCCTCTCTCCCTCTCCTCCCCTTCAGCTTCCCTCTCTCCCTCCCCCTCTCTGCTTCCACGCACTCAGCCCACAGGCAAACTGTAGGTCAATGCTATTAAATTAGAAGGAAAACAGAACAGCAGTTAGTAAAACATTTGCTGAGTGTCTCCACAGTGCAGGCACCAGAAATACAAAAACTTGTAAGACCCTAATTTTCCTACAGATCTAAAGTCCATAGAGAGATGAAGACAAACAAACAATAAGCCACAGGATAAGTTTAAATTTCACTTTATGTTCTCCTTGCAAAGGGAGACCTGGGGGTGGGTGGGGATGAATGATGAGGAGGGTGGGTGGGACAAGGATCTGTTGAGGGCGTGGGGAGTAGAGGCTTTCCCATGGGGTCATGTACTAGCTCAGTCTCAAAAACTCAACAAGATTGTCCCAGACAAAGGGAAAGGACACTTCATATAATATATCACATACAAAAGCAGAGTTATGACATAACATGCGAGACTGGGGAAGTTCTGTATTTTCAGAGCTCAGTGTTTAGGGGGAAAGGTGGGAACAAGATGCCTTGAGGGGCCTTGTGATGTACCCTAAACACTCATAACACAGCCAGAGTTTCCCAGCATGTGGTACAAAGATTATTTTAGTTCATGTGTGGGCTTAAAAATAAACAGTTTTGAATTTATTATGTATGTTAGAAGACTTAACTGACACATCAAATCCACGATTTTGCAAATATGGGAACTGAGGGCAAGGCTGGTAGGTACCATTGCTGGGCTCTGCCTTAAGCTGGCCGATGTACAGGAGAATGCTCAGACATGCTCACACATGTTCCAAGGCTTCGGTGACCACCAAACTTAGTGAGACTAGAAAGAAGAGCACACTGGTGATACTCACGAGCTTGAAATGAGAAAGAAAAAAATTAAAGTAGAATGGCTGACCTCTCTACTCCTGAATTCATTTCCTACTTATTGTATATTTACTGGGATTTGAAGGATTTGGGGCTGGTCAAGGAGAATGTCCAACCCCAAGAGGCAGTAGCATGCACCTAAAGCCTTACTGGGTGAGCACTCAGACTTGGCTGGAAGTGGGGAGTGCCTCACAGAACGAGTCTGTCCAGAGGCTCCAGCATGGCGGGGGGTTCACCACGCAGAAGGGGAAGAGGGCGAGAGGGAGGCCAGAGAGCGGCTTATGTGTCTAGGTGATGTCGCTCTGCAGAATGGCGGGGAGTCTCTGGTCAGAGAGCTCTGAAGGGCCAGCCAAAGCAGCGTGGGGCCTCATATCCACAAGACTCTCTATTATCAGTGACTTACCGTGTGCTTATTTGGGGTACTTTTAAAATAATCAGATGTGTAAAAGTTGGAATTTGGCATCCCCGGGCTTCTGAGCTCAGGAGTCTCAGCCTGCAGTGAAGAAATAAAGCACACAGGGCCCAATACACAGAGGCCATCTTTGGCTCATTTAATATAACAGTATCTGTTCCATTGAGTTCCTGAAACCTGTAGTTTGCAAATATGATTTATAGCAATGTATTTAAGTGAATGAACTCACCTTACAACAAAAACAGTGTGGCTCTCCTATGAAGGTGTGTTTCTTTCCATTTAGTATAATTCAAAATAAACCCAAACAATTTAATTTTATTTGGCTTCAAAGCAATTTGAATTCAGTTTGAACTGAGGAGCTGATTTGGCGTTAAGAGCAGAGACTGGAGTCAAAAAGCCCTAAATCCAATGTTTAACTTTACAACCTAGGTCACTGCTGTCTGCTTCACATGTAACGTGAGAATAGTGTGTCAACTTCGTCAGGACTGCAGGTGGAACAGGATGTTAGACTCTCCTGGCCCCTCGGTCAACTGAGGGGTTATACAGAAACCCAAATACCAATGAGAGTGAGAGATAAGACACCCCAACTCCCGCGCAGTCTACAGGGGGGACACAGGAGTTACTGATCAGTGACTCTAAAACTCCTTCACTCAGAGAATAAGGGCTCAAGTGTTGAGAATTTTGCAGGCGGATTGTTGCAGACATTTCTTTGGAGAGAGTGGCTGCGGAGCTTGTAGTTTCCACTCTACCTTTTTACATGTAGGGGTGAAGGTGTTACTTTCAAACACCAAGTTGGAGGGGGCATGTGTCAGTGGAAGCCCGTGGTGAACACGGAACTGTTGCCTACAGTTGTGAAACAGAGCTGGGCTAGCCCTTTGCCTAAAATGGACTGAGATCTGAGCAGCTTCAAAGCCCGGAGAGAGGCCGATTAGCTTGTTGCGCTGACAGCAGAGCCAGGAGAGCGCTGCTGGGTTTTGATTGACCTGCACCCCCAGGGGTTGTTGGGCCAGATGTGATGAAGGGTTCTCGGTGGACTGCTGGTGGGCTCTGCAGGAAGGAGCTGAAACCTATACAATAGGGCTGCTTAGAGAGTGAGGAGAAGCCAGGTGAGGACATTAGAGGTGACTCCAGGGACCTAGCCAAAGAGCACTGAAAAACACTCCATGAAAGAAAGAATCAGCTTTGAATATTTGCCTGGCCAAACCCGGAGGTCTCAGAGCTCAAGGTCATCCAGCCAAGGGAGGACAGTACCACTCTCTTACTTTCTTACTTTCTCTAATCTCCAATCATGGGCCCCATTCAAGAGCCAAGTAGCAGCTCTCTGTGGGAAAACTGAGGGAGGAGTTGGGCAGGTGGGATGGCAAAAAAACAGTCTCTTTCTTGGCTTGCAAAATGTGTTGAAAGTGCTATTTAAATCTGTGCTGCCCAGTAGGGTGGCTGCTTTTCTCACTGTTGAGCACTGAAGATGCGGCCAGTCCAAAGTGAGATGCACGGTAAGTGTAAGCTGCAGGCTGGATTTCAAGGACTTAGAATGAAAAAAAAAAAGTGTAAAAATGTTTCATTGTTGATTTATTGTAAATCAGTGTTGTACTGTTTATTGTATTCTCATGTATATTTGATTACATGTCAAAGTTGTAACATACTGGATGTATTTTACTTTTTAAAAAATGTAGCTATGACACGCAAAAGAATGAAACTAGACTTCTGTCTGACACCATACAGAAAAATAAACTGAAATGGATGAAAGACCTAAAATATAAGACCTGAAACAATAAAACATGTAGAAGAAAATATAGGTACTAAACTTTTGGGCCTTGGTCTCAGAAGGGTTTTTGTGAACTTGACCCAAAGGTAAGGGAAGCAAAAGGAAAAAAAAAAAAAGAATGGGACTACATCAAACTAGAAAAACTTCTGCACAGCTAAAGAAAAACTTCTGCACAGCTAAAGAAAGAGTTAACCAACCAAATAGGAGAAGATATTTGAAAATGATACCTCTGATAAGGGGCTAATATCAAAAATAGATAAAGAACTCATACAACTCAACAACCATAAAAGTAAGCATTTTAATTAAAAAATGGGCAAGGAACCTGAACAAACACTTTTCCAAAGATGTACAGTGGCCAACAGGTATATGAAAAGATGCTCAACTTCCCTAGCTATAAGGGAAATGTGAGTTAAAACCACAATGAGATACCACCTCATGCCTGTTAGAATGGCTGTTATCAATAAGACAAGAAATAACAAGTGCTAGAGAGCATGTGGAGAAAAGGGAATCCTTGTACACGGCTGGTGGGAATGTAAATTGGTGCAGCCTCTATGGAGAATGGTCTGGAGGTTCCTAAAAAAAATAAGAATAGAGCTGCCCAACATGTGTCCATCTCAGGATGCAACATGGAGTAAAAGATGAAGATCCCTGTCACCACACAGTTTATCAAAGCTCCACCAAACAAGATGCCACATGTGATGTGAGGTTAGTCCTGCTTCAAGGTGATGTTAATGTCTCAGACAGTGGTAAGGCTTCCAGTCATAGCAGAGAAATAAAGGCACAACACCAAACAACTCTGATGGGCAAGTTCCTCTCCAGAACTCTCCCGTGGTTGGCCAAGGCTTTTCAGCTTGCATTCATTTGAATTCTCTTGCCCAATTCTCCTTCCTTTCCTTTTCCTCCATAGATGTCAACCCCTAATAAATATCTTGTAGCCCAAATTCAGAGTCTACTTCTGGAATACCCAACCTCTGACACCCCACTACAACCTGAGGTAGTGTCTCATCCCCTCCCACATTCCTACATCCAGTGTTGGTCTTAGGGGCAGAAAGGGGATAGCAGACTGGGGACAGGTGCCATGCTGGTAAGTGTCTGTTCAGCTGGTGGCATGCCCCTGTCTTCAGGGCATTTCAGATTGGGGATAGAAAAGGTAATCTGGAAGCACTTCTAGGAGCACTCTGGGATGCTGGCCATGCTACTTTTTCTTGCTGTTCACTTGGGGCTTACTGCAAGGGTTCAAAAATGGAGCTTTCATGAGGTCAGCATTTCCTTCTCTGGTTCCTGGTCCCTGGTCCCCTACCAGCACAGTTTCCTGAGTGTCCTTAGGGATTGCCAGTCCTCAGGTAGAGCCTATAAGCTCCATCCCTAAACCCTCCTCTCTTGCTCAACCCTCCCAACATCCTAAAGATGGAGAGCGTGCACACCTTCCAATGGCCAGCTTACCAGAAGAGAGCACAGAACCCTCTCCCCCAGCATGTCTGCCCTGGGTCACCCTCTCCTCCTTCTCCCTTCCCCTGTGTGACTTGGACTTTTATATGTTCTCCAAAGGACAGCAATGGCTAATAAATGCATCTGGGAGAGAGCCAAGGAAATCTTTAAAGTTCTGTCTTATGATAAAATTTTGGGAGTAGTGGCAAGAGGTGGTCTAGCCCCTGGATAATAATATTGTCTACAACTGTCTCTATTCTTGGGAATCAGATTGGCTGCCATTATCCTTCTGGTCCTCTGATTAAAAGTTGCTTATTCATTAGCACATTGACAACCATATACATTTTAAAATACAGAAATTGGCCATGAAGGAATTGGGGAAATGGCGTAATTTCCTGTCCAATCAGGTCATTACCCATGAGTATTTATCTCCTTATTGGGAAAGTGAAGGCACTCACCTGTCTTGAAATAACACAACGGGAGATTCACTCATTTGTACCCTTGAGGGTAAAGAACAAGGCAGAGAGCAGGATCCACAGCTAGAAGCTACTAGCTAGAGGTTTCCAGGGCCCGGGATCCTCCTCACCTCTGAAAGAGGGGCTAGGGAAGGAGAACACAGGCTGCTGGTGAGAACCTTGCAGCACGTAAATGCAAATATCTCTGGTGTTATTCCACGCTGGCTAATTAAGATCATTCGGTTTGAAGTTACAGCTCCTGGCTCCACTCTAAGAGACCTGCTCTTATTTCTTGAATCTGTGCCCACACTTTGTAGGTTTTCTGCCTGGCCTGTCTGGTGGGTGACTGGACAATGTTTGCAGAAGCTGTCAGGCATGTGTAGCAGTGAAAGAGGCAACTGTGTACATACAGAAATTGCACAAAAATGGCAACACCTCACAGATCACAGACAATATGATTTTTCAAAAGACCCAAAATTTAAAGCTTAGTTTGGGGACCTGGGGACTTTCCAGGTAGACGTGGTTTAGGTGTCACATTCTGGGGAGCTGAGAGTTGATGAGATCACTCTCAGAGCCCCTGTGACCTCTCTGGTTTACACTGATTTAAAGGGTAGGTTTTGGAATTAAATCATCGTGGTCTGGCCATGGCCCTGCTCAAAACCAAACACTGCGCAGACGTTATGAAAGGTGCCTCTACAGTGGAAGGCGGTGAGTTGTTACCTCTTCCCTCAAAGTTCTTCTAGACCAAGATGATAGCTCTTGTACTTAGGGGGAAGAATTTAGGATTTTCAACAAGTACCAATAAGCATCTGAGAAGAATCAAAGATTCTTCCCAAACTGGTACAGTCACTATAGAAAATAGTATGGAGGTTCTTGGAAAAATTAAAAATAGAATTACCATATGATCCAACAATTCCACTTCTGGGTATATATTCAAAGGAGATGAAATCACTACCTCAAAGTGATACCTATAATCCCACGTTTATTGCAGCATTATTCACAATAGCCAAGACATGGGAACAAACAAGTGTCTGTCAACAGATGAATGAATAAAGATATGATCTATGTTGTCATTTGGGACAAGACAGATAAACCTTAAGGACCTTATGCTAATTAAATAATTCAGATTGAGAAAGACGACTATTGTATATATATAGTATCACTTATATGTGTAATATATATGTGTGTATATATATATATGCTAAATTAATAGAAACAGGGAGGAGAAAGGTGGTAGTGGGGGGTGAGGAAAGGAGAGGTTGGTAAAAGGTACAAACTTTCAGCTATAAGAGGAATAAGGTCTGAGGATCTCATGTAAAGCCTGATGACTATAGATGACAACACTGTATTGCATAATTGAAAAAATAAAAACAAAACAAAAAACAACAACAAAAAGATGTTTCTGAAGATGAGTGTTGGCAGTACCACCAGGCTCTTTAGCAGAAACAGAATAAAATCAACATTACCATTTACCTGTCTGGGCTATAAGTCCGTATGGCCATCCCTCCAGGTAACCACAGGGACTCCCTGTACCCAGGTTCCTCATCTGTAAAACAGCAATGACAATAATACTGATGTCCTAGGGGGCTACTGTGAGGAGCGGATGATAGGACACGTGAAAACCATTCAGAATTGTATCAGGCACAGTTGGCTATTTATAGTACTTATTATCCTTGCTCTGTTATCCAGCATTTGCAAATGACACTACTCATAAAGTATGTGCAGTCTAAACCTGGCCAGAAGCTTCATTATCAATATTTGAGAGTCACATATTAAATAATCCTGCCTTGGTTCTCTAGTTCGAACCCTTTATAATCAGAAATCCACATATTTGGGCAAGTTATTTATTTTTATTTTTTTATCCTCACCCAAGGACATTTTTCTATATTTTGTTCAGATAGAGTGGGAGGGAGAGAGAGGAAGACGGAGAGAGAGAGAAACATTGACATGAAAGGGACACATCGAGTGGGATGGGGACAAAATGCAACTGAGGTGCGTGCCCTTAGGGGGAACTGAACCCGGGTCTCTCTGGACTGCAGGCCGACACTCTAACTGCTGAGCCAAACGGGCCAGGGCAGGGGCAAGTTATTTTGACTGCCTATATTTAATTATTCTCCAAGAATTTGAAACCACACATATATGATGAAATAAAAGTTTTGAAACTTCACATGAAGAGAAAGTATAGAGGAGATAAAAATGTATTTAAATTATATGATTCATTTAAATTATAAATAAAATTGAGTTGGAAAATAAATAGTACACAGAAATGATGTATATAAAGACAAAGTTGGGATACACATTTGCTTCTAAATTTTCTGGAAACCAAAGGGAAAAAAAAGAAATATAATTAGTTACATATCTATGTTGTCCAAAAGAAGAAAGCATTCCAGTTCTTCAGGGAAAAAACAAACAAATAAATAAGAACATAAAAAGCTGTTCCTGATACCTGGGTATTTTAAAAAATTGCAGGTTTTTCATATAAAATAGTGAGACTTGCTATGGCTAATGTCCTCACTGCATCTGCACAATGAACGTCAGCTGATTCAATGAGAGATTATTATACTGTCCTTCGATGTATTAATAAAGCCAAGCATGGTGAAGGCAACTGTAGAAGCTCAGAACAAGGTGTTCCAGCTCGAGAACTCTCTTTTCTTTTTAAATTTTATTTTTGTTAATCCTCCCCTGAGGATATTTTTTCATTAATGTTTAGGTAGAGTGGAAGGGAGGAAGGGAGAGAAAGAGACACATTGATGTGAGAGAGTCAAATGGATTGGTTGCCTTCTGCATGACCCTGATTGCCCGTCACGTGATCCCGATGGGGCTGGGGATCAAACCTGCAACCCAGGTACTTGCCCTTGACCAGGAATCAAATCTGCAACCCTTCGATTTAAGGGCCAGATTGATGCTCTAACCACTGAGCAAAACTGGCTAGGATGAGAACTCTCTTTCCCTTCTGGCTTCATCTAGGGGAAAACATAGACTTTCCTCCATTTATAGTTTCTCTTAACTGTTTTGGTAAAAAGCAAGCAAGCAAGCAAACAAAAGATAGTAGAAGACAATTCAAAATTAAATTTTTGTGGAAGGGCCAGGCTGGATTACAGTTTAATATTTTGTCCTTTTTTGAGATTTGGTATTAGATCATATGTGATAAAATTGCTGCACTCTTAAAAGGTACTTTAAAAGACATTCATAGTTTTCAATACCCTTTTGCTAGATTCACATGACACATTTCTTTAGGACTCTGTGCTAGGGAGAAATTGATAAACTGGTATGCTTTAAGGCATCAGGTAACAAGAGTTTGGCCAGAAATTCAGAAGGAAATTTTAGAATCAACATCAGTATCTCTCCCTCACCTATGATTTCTAGGATAACTATCCTTCTTTCGCCTTACTTTGATTTTTCTCCTGTTACCGTGGCTTTAACAGTTTTTTACTATTTGTCTCATTTATTATAAGTTAAGCAGAACATTCTTTGAAAGAAGATGAGACATGAGTTTGAAATTAAATGCACAACAGCACTTTATAATACAAACGAGGACATTTAAAATTTGCTTACTAAGTGAATTCATCAATATTGTTTTTGGCTGAGAGTAACACAGAACCTGACACATCTGTAGCTTACAGCCTTTCTCTCACACACCACGGAGTCTAGAGAAATGCAGCCCGAGGCTGGGATGTGCTCAATGATATAACCGAGGATTCAGGGTCTTTCCGTCCTCAGATCCACCATCCGTGTGCGTGGCTGCTGCGCTCCTTACCCCAGCCATTCAGGTCTGCATACCAGACAGGAAGAGGAGGGAAGGGACCAAGAAAAGGCCAAAAGTAACTTGCCAGCTGAGTCTGTTCCTTTCGAAGGTTTCTCAGAAGTCCCTACCCCCACTGCTAGCAGACTCTGCTATGTAACACTACTTAGAGCTGGGTCCCATCAGCCGCAAAAGGCTCTAGAAAGGTGAATATTTCAGTTGAAAAGATGGTTCTGTTAACGAAGATGTGAGAGTGGATATAAGGTAAGTACTTAAGAGTGTCAATCACAATAAAAGTTTGTAATATAACAGTGACAGAAAAAAAATGTCTCGTGTATGACCTCAATTGTGTAAACCAACAGACATAGAATAAGAAAAATCATCAAAATGTTTAGACTAATTGTTTGTATGGGTTGTGGTATTATCAGTGATGTTTACTCTCTTAAATATATGTTTATATATTTTCTTTGTTTTATTAAAATCAATGCCTGCCAATTTATAAGAAGAATAAATGAGTACTTACAAAATAAAAAGTATTTTCTGCTTATGTTTATCTTATTGCTGGAATTTCTAATTGGTCATTTACAAGGTCATCCTGAACAAGATATAATAATATCATGAACCATTTTTTATAGAGACCAATAGGTTGCATAGCCTTTCTCATCTAGTTTTTAAAAAGTATGGCCCCTGCCTTAAGAGCTTCAATATGGTAAAATATAAATAACATTATATGTCACAATTAGAAAAGTGACAGGATGACAGAGTTTGGCTTAGCCAAAAACAAAACAACAAAGAAAACACTGAGCTAGGAGGCAGAGATAAAATTTAATTAGTGTACCTCAGTATCTATGTTATCCTGGGTAGGATAATTAGCTTCTTTGAGACCCAATGGTCTTGTCTATAAAATGAGGGCTTGAACTACATGGTTTCTAAAAGTGCTTTTGGACCTCAGCATTCTGGGTACTTTAGGCAGATGTCAACTTCTCTCGGCGCCTTCTGAAGCATTTGTCTTGGTCATGCACCCTCACATTGAAAGTGTGTCCTCTCATAAATTATGCTATCCTGACCTGTTTCTTCTTCTTCTTCTACTTTTTTTTTTTTTGGAATATTTTTCTTTCATGATTTACTTTCTCCTTCAGACCTGGAAGTGTGGACAATGCTCAAGACTTAGTTGTTCTCATGTAGCTCTTCCCTGTGGTCACCCTTAGCAGTTTCTTCTGCTTTGATGACCACTTTATGGGGGTGTCCCAACTCTGTCTGCCTCTGACATCTCAAAGTTTCAGACTCATATTCCCACCTGCTTGAGAGCCATATGTCATTTGGATAATAGTTGTCACCTGAAATTCACTCTGTTTGAAACCTAACTCCTCCCTTTCCTTAGGTCAACATTTTTTCCCATGCATTGATTTTTTATTTTGCTGTTTGGCATCATTCTTTTCTTAGTTTCTTAGGCTTGAAACCTTAAATGATGTTTTTGGCACCTTCCTCTAGCTTACCCCTCATATCAAATCAAAAGAAAACCTTTTTGGTTCAGGTTCAAGGAAGATCTTGGACTCAATTCCTCCTACAGATGCACTGAATCTACAGTAACATATAAAAAATTTTCCTCTAAAGAAAACACTAAAAGCTAGCTTAGTGACTACTACCTATCAGGTGAGTGAGAAAAAAAATCCCACAATGAAGCAGATAGAAGGGGTGAAGACATATCTGGCCATAAACCCCACTCCCATGCAGTGACCCACAATCAGGAAGGAACTCAGAGCCTGGAACTTCTCCCTGAGGAGCAAAGTCTTTGAACCCCATGTTAGTCACCCTAACTTTTAAGACCTGCAACTGAGAGAGACAAGCCCCCAAGTCACATAGCTTTGGAAACCAATGGTGCTCATGTCCATGAGACCCACAAAGCTATAACAAACTGAGAAACAGTTCTTATGCGCTTTTGTGTTCAGACTCACTTGCCCCAGGCAGGAACCAGCACAGAGGCAGATGACTGAGAGGCAGCTAGACCTTAAATGAAAGAGCACATTTACTTATCTTCAAACATTGGCCTGAAGAGCAGGCATCCAATTTAATACACCTCCAGGGGCCTGCTGGAGTACTTTCCAGAAACAGAGGCTGGTGTTTGTGTTCTACCTCTGCCTCACTCCAGCTTGATGACATTTCCTGGAAAGGAACTTGTACTCTCCCCTGCTGTCCTGAATTTTTGTGGCTCCCTCTAGGGGATACTTCTAGATCTCCTGGTTCTCGCGGCAAGGGGAGTGTGCATTCTATAACATTGTGACAATCAGAAAGACAGTTCTTGGCTGGCTACCATCCCTAGGGCACTACACAGACAGCAGACTGAGCTCCCCCCATCCCCAGTTTTTCTGTGAAAAAGAGAAAGAAAAAACCTACTTGCTTGTCCTGGTGCTTCAGCATGAGAGTCAAGCTTCTAGTCTGGTACACAAATTTAACAGACACACTTAACAGATATAGGCAAAATATGACAACCAAAAGCAACAAAATATACATTCAAGTGCACATGGAATATTCCCCAGGATATATCAGATATTAGGCCACAAGATAAGTCTTAAAATATTTAAGAAGACTGTAGTGACATTAAGCATCTTTTCTAACCACAACATGAAACTGGAAATCAATTACAAGAAGATAACTGAAAAATCCACAAATATGTGGAGGTTAAACAACATGCTACTGAACAAATAATGGTTCAAAGAAAATCAAAAGAGAAATCAAACAATATCTTGAGACAAATAAAAATGAAAATATATTAAACTTTATATGATGCAGCAAAAGCAGTTCTAA